TCTGATCAACAACCAGGTGAGCAACTTGGAAGCTGAGCCCCAAGCCCAGTTAAACCTTCAAAGGAGAGCAGCTCAACCCATGGCTGACTCCAGCCTCACAAGAGACCCTGACCAGCAACACCGGCTAAGCTGCCCCGACTCCTGCCCTCAGGCCTGAGAAATGAGAAATGGCAAAGGTCTGCTGCTCCAGCTGCTGGGCCGCAACAGGTCACTGACACCTTTTCTAGCTTCTTGAATGGAAAGCTTAGATGATCAATTTCACGCCCTTCTTCTTCTCTAATACGTGGGTTTGGTAGTGATGCATTTCTCTCTAAGCACCAGTTCCCACTTTCTGAGTGTTTAGCTCGGAAAGTAGGAAGTGCAGGGCGCAGAGACCCATGAGACAGAAAACAAACAGCAAATCCAGTGAAGCCAAAACCCAGGGCTTTTGGAAAAGAGGAACAAAATTGATAAATCCATAGCAAGAATGATGAAGAACACCAGGTCAAAAATAAAAGAGGGGACATTATTACGGATCCTAAAGATACTGAAAATAAGAGGAACTTTATGCTAATACATCGCACAACTTGGATGAAATGAGGAAACTCACTGAAAACCATATTTACCAAAATTAACAGAAAAAGAAACAAAGTATGAATAGTCTCACCTCTGTTAAAGAAATCAAACCAAAGATGTTTTCAAGATCCAATTGGCCGGGCACGGTGGCTCACGCCTATAATCCCAGCACTTTGGGAGGCCGAGGCGGGCGGATCACAAGGTCAGGAGTTCGAGACCAGCCTGGCCAATATAGTGAAACCCCATCTCTACTAAAAAATACAAAAATTAGCTGAGGCCTGTAGTCCCAGCTACTCAGGAGGCTGAGGCAGGAGAATTGCTTGAACCCAGGAGGCGGAGGTTGTAGTGAGCCGATATCAGGCCACTGCACTCCAGCCTGGGAGACAGAGTGAGACTCCGTCTCAAAAAAAAAAAAAAAAAAAAAAAAAAAAAAAAAAAAAAAAAAAGATCCAATCAAACACTCATCACAAGAGACTAAGTCACACAGAATCTACACAGCTTGCGCAGACAGAGAGTGAAATAAGGCTATCTACGACGCAGAGGTCTGCGGACCCTGCCGTGTCCCTGGGGTGGAGTCCGCTGTCCCACGTGCAGGCTGAGTGGTAGCAACCAGGAAGGGGTCAAGGCTGAAAGGAGGGCCCTGTAGCCAGCAGGGGGCAGGGGAAAGGAGGGCCCCATAGCTGGGCAGGGAGCAGGGGAAAGGAGGGCCCCATAGCTGGGCAGGGAGCAGGGTCTTTTTGGCTCTCACCCCTCCCTCCTAGCCAAAGGTGGTGCTGCAGGGACTTGTGGCTTGGCGGGAATCAGATGACCTGGTCTCCTATCTCACACTCAGATAAGTGAATGAAAGCTGTGAGTACTGTTGTAACAAGGGCTCCAGGGCAGGAGAGAGGCAGGCGCCTGAGCATGAGCATTCTGTCACATGGCTTGGCAGGAACCTGCGGAAAGAAGTGAAAGCGAGACCACGTGCTCACAGTGTCCTTTCTGTTAATACGGCTGAAATCTTCCACAGCCTCAGGAGAGGAACACGGACTTGTCTAAGGAAAACAACAGGCTGCCAAGAAATCAGCCCTAAGGGTAACACTGAACCTGGCACTCTTCCGGCCACCACACAGGAGGCGACGCCTGGGAAAGAAGAATGCACGGCTCCTGTCTGAAGACGTCTCTGTTAGTCCAGCCACCTGGTGTCACTTGTATCTGCGAACATTTCCTGATTCTTCATATTTTGTGTTAAAAAATGTATTTTGTGGCCGTGCTGCTGGCGGGCCAAGTGACAGGTTTCCAGCGAGGGCCGCCCATTGACGGTCTTTGTTCAAGGCTAATCCCAATTTTAGCTTCAATACTTCATCCTGCAGCTCTTTGGCCTTGTGGGAGACAAGGAGGGGGAGACGTTAGAAAGGCTGGCAGGACTTAGGGCGTCCATACGTCTCTGGCTCAGATTCCACGTGGGGCCCAGGCCGTGTGGGAGTGAGCAAAACCAGCCCCGCTCCCCTGGGGCCCCTGCAAGCCACATCATGGCACGGTCTCCCCTGCAATGGGGCCTGGCAGCCTACTTCCAGCCAGCTCCCAGGCCTCCCACCTCAAGAGGACACCACCCTCTGCAGGGACACACGTGGCCACTCATCCTGGTGTCCCCACAGCCCCACCCAGGTGTCCTGTGCAGATGCAGGTCAATGGATGAACAGACACTCGGCATCATCCTGTGGGCAAAGGGAAGGCTGGTGCCACACCCTGGGCAGTGTGTTGGAAAGCATCACCACAGCCATGACCACACCTGAAAGCCATAACTGCCCTGGGAAGCAGATGGGGCCACAATTGCCACCTCCGCCCCACAGACACAGAAGCCATGGATCAGGAGTTCCTACAGAAGGAACTTGCCGAGCCTGAAACCAGAGGCAGGCTTTCTGTTCCAAACCCCATGGTCCATGGCCAATCCCCTGGGCAGAATAAGGTGAGGCTGAGAAGGGCACTGCAAGGGGGCCTCAGGTGGAGAAACTGAGGAGGGGCTCTTCCTGTTCCTGCCCCTCCAGCCCTCTGCAGAATCCCAACCTCCCCACTCCAAGCACAGGAGCCCTGGGCTACCCGGCTCTCCTCTCCCTCCCCAGCTTGCCTCACTGGAGGCACAGGTTGGACATGACCTCCAGTGCAGGTCCCGGGAGACCCCTGCAGCCTCCCCCCCAGTACAGACAAGTCACAGCAGGTCCCTGGAGAGCACTGCACCCCGCCCCCCATACAGCCATAATCACAGCAGGTCCCTGGAGACCCCTGCAGCTTCCCCTCACCCCATACAGCCATAATGACAACAGGTCCCCAGAGACCCCTGCAGCTTCCCCCCACCCCATACAGCCATAATCACAGCAGGTCACAGAGACCCCTACAGCTTCCCCCCACCCCATACAGCCATAATCACAGCAGGTCCCCAGAGACCCCTGCAGGTTGCCCCCACCCCGCCACAGCCATAATGACAGCAGGTCCCTAGAGGAAACCCCTGCAGCTTCCCCCCACCCCATACAGCCATAATGACAGCAGGTCCCCAGAGACCCCTGCAGCTTCCCCCACCCCATACAGCCATAATCACAGCGGGTCCCAGAGACCCCTGCAACCCCCACCCATACAGCCATAATCACAGCAGGTCCCCAAGAAGACCCCTGCAAACCCCACACCCCCCTGCAGCTTCCCCCCACCCCATACAGCCATAATCACAGCAGGTCCCCGGAGACCCCTGCAGCTTCCCCCCACCCCATATAGCCATAATCACAGCAGGTCCCCGGAGACCCCTGCAGCCTCCCCCTCCATATCACAACTATGGCCTAGAGCAGCACTCACGGCTTCTGGCTCTGCGACTTGATCAATAGTACTTGTCACTGACCCAGTAAATAGTCAATGATAACGTTTTTCGCTTCCCATAGAAACCTGTATTCCCTGTAGGATTCATAACTGCCTCCTTTAAAAATGTTTACTTTGTTTTCTATATCTATTACATCCTCTCAAACTGTAAAACCTCTCTCAACATCCTCCTCCACTGGCCAAGTCCTCAGACTGACCTGGTCTCCCTGGGGAGACCCCGACAGGCTCCTCTCACAGCAGCGGGTGGCCGGGGGCTTCTGGGTCAGCTCCCTTTCCTCCGGAACTCTCACCTTCCTCTCTCAGCATCTACTCCCTTGTTTTGATAGAACAAATTCTACAGTGGCTTCTGGAGAAAGACTCTCTAGATGGGAAGCAGCATTTTGAGTCCTCGCATGTCTGAAAACGTCTTATTGTGTGCTGGCCCCTGACCTTGCACTCGGAGGACCGAATCCCAGTGCCTGCTGAGGGCAGTGCCATCACCGACACCAGCTCCTCCCAGTGCCTGGTTCTGTGTGGGCCTCTCTCCCCGACCTCCCTGGAATCTCGGGGGGTCCGTCCTGCTCTGGTTCGGGATGCTGAGCCATGGTGCCAGCACGTGTGGGCCCTTCTGGCAGGAAGTACATTGGTTCCTTCGGGAAGAACCCTCCTACACCCTCCCCCTCCGTCTGCTCTCGTCTCTCCTGCTGGAACCTGCCGGATGCTTTGCTCTGCTTGGGACGTCCTCTAACTTCCTTTCCTCTTGTCTCATCTCTGTTTCCCATCTCCCCTTCCTGGGGAATTTATGCATCTACTAATTTGATTTTTTAAAATTTTTGCCACATTTTAAACTTTGCTTTGGGAGTTCTGGGTTATCTGAGTGTTCACTTTCTAAAACAGCCACTGGGTTTCATGGCAGCAGCCTTGTCTGTTCCCGTGGGGGGATTTTAATTCTGGCTTGTCATGTTTAAGTGTCCCCTAATGTCCGCATCCGTCTGAAGCTCGCTCCCCAGCCAGCTAGCTTTGGCCTCTCCCTCACCTTGGGGCTTCCCTCAGTAGCTGAGCAACCACTCGTGACTGAGGCCCTGGAGTGAGGCTGAGATTGGGGTGTTGGTGGAGAGCTGCTGGCTGCTCAGTGCAGGCCGGGGCTGTCTGGGGGACACCCAGGTGGCTTCTGTCTTGGTTGACTGATATCTCAGACAGCACCATGGAGCTGGCTGGCCCTCCTGGTCGGTTGTGCACCTGATCTTCTGCAGGGCTCTTTAGGTCATACGTGGCCGCTGTCACCACCACGGTGCCTGGTTGGTCAGCTTCTCCAGAGGCAGCCCTGTCTCCTGCTGGGTAGGCTGGAGGAGTCAGTGGGCTGGGCGGAGTAGGGAAGCAGACCCAGGGCCCTATCGTGACCTGTACAGACTCCACTCCATTTTTTTTTTTTTTTTTTTGAAACGGAGTTTAGCTCTTGTTGCCCAGGCTGGAGTGCAATGGTGCCATCTCAGCTCACTGCAACCTCTGCCTCCCAGGTTCAAGTGATTCTCCTGCCTTTGCCTCCCGAGTAGCTGGGATTACAGGCGGCGCCAACGTGCCCAACTAATTGTTTGTATTTTTAGTAGAGACGGGGTTTCACCCTGTTGGCCAGGCTGGTCTCGAACTCCTGACCTCAGGTGATCCACCCACCTCAGCCTGCTAAAGCGCTGGGACAGCAGGCCTGCGCCACCGTGCCCCGGCCTCCGCTTCCAATCCCTCTGTGGTTGGTTTTGTCTTCCTGTGCTCTGGGGCTGCATCACCTTGCATCTTTGCTGGCATTTTGTTCGGCAGGCCCTTCACGTTGCACCACTAGGGGGCTTCCTTCGTGCAAAATCGCCCGGGCCTCCGTGTGTGAGGACAGGGCTCGCCTGCCAGCCCCCAGACGACAGCAACTGAGACCAGGTGGAGCAGTGTGTCTCAGAGGACAGCACCCGCACCAGGGACAGACTACTGCACACTGGCTCTGCAGCCCTGGCCCACGGCCTCCACCTGAGGGCTGAGGTGGCTGCCCCTGCTCTGGCCATCATGTTTGCATTCCAGCCAGGAAGGGAGAGGACAAAGCTCAGGAAGTCCATGCTCATCCGCTCACATCCTGCCAGCCGGAATAGAGCTACAGGCCCACGTCTGGCTGCAAGGGAGGTAGAGAAACGTGGCCATTTGTGGGGCAGCCCGTGCCCAGCTGAGACGTGAGGCTCTATTATTACAGGAAAGACCACGGGGAAGGGGGAGCCTCCTGACAAGAGGGCAGGCTCCTCTCCATTTTCTCATCCTGAGGAGTGAAGGTCGTTTTTGCTCCCTCTCCTGTCATTCTGGTGGCTTCTGGGCAGAGTGGAGATAAATCTATGTGCAGAATGGGCCGTGTTGACCTGGAAGGGCCACGTCTGTTGGCTGGTTTGTTTTCAGCATCTCTTTTTCATCCCTCTGGGCTTTCTTCTCTCTCCCCCCTGACCCGTCCATCCTGGCCCTCCAATCAAACGCAAGCTCCTGGCTCATGGGCTGGACTCCAGCCCCTCCTACTTCCCCCATTTGGCATCCCCTTCTCCCACAGGCCAGGCTCCAGGGCGCACGGGGTGTTGGGGGGTGCTCCGACGCACGCCATGTCACCGAGGACTCCTCGCTAGTGCTACGCCATGCACGGCACTGCGCAGAGGCCTTGAAGGAAACACGAGGGGCCAGGGAAGAAGCCGGCAGAACGAGACTGTCTGCTTCTAGAGGTGTAGTGTGAACTTAGATGGTTGTCTGCCTGGAACATGCCAGCTGTCTCAGGCACGTGCGTGCCCGCCTCCATACAGGCTGGCGGGCTGCACAGCCACGGAGCCAGGACTGGTCTCTAATGCTGCTGCAGGGTTTGCTCAGGCCCTGCCTGGGGGCCCCAGCTCTAAGGAAAGACACACTCTTCCGGCAAAGCCCGAGGCTTCACCTGCAGGGAGGGCCAGCATGATCGTCTTGCCAGGATTATACAAATAGGTTCCCTACTGAGTCTAAAGAACACAGCACTTTCTTTTTTGCTAGTGGGCCTGTGTAGACAGCAGAAAAAGGGAGGGTCATTTGAAATGGACTGAGCCTACAGGAGGTCCAGGTGCTCAGAAGGCAAATTTCAGAAAAAACTATAATTAAGATTGTTTCCTAAAAATGAGGCCATCAGGTGGCACGGACGCCTGCCACACTGTTCTGGACTGTCTCAGAGGGTCCCTTCTCCCCTGCCCCGCCCACCCACCTGGTCCTCTGTGAGAGGCAGTGGGACAGAGGAGAAGGATGGCTGAAGCTTGTGGACAGCCACCACCACCTGTCTCAACACAGTTCACCTCCTCCAGGGCAGGATCAGCTGCTTCCCAACTCATTCTTAGGAGTTTTAAAACCCCTTCCTCTGGCTCTCCCAGCCAGGAGTGAAACGAAGGGAACCACCCCATGGGCATCCTGTGGGCTCCAGCGCTGCAGAAGCCTGTCATGGAAAGTTAGCGGGTGTTCATGTCCCTGTCTCCTGGGCAGGGTGACACAGCACATCCCTCCTTGCATCTTGGCAGTAACTTGGAGTTGGCACATGACAGGAGCCGGTGCTGGTGACCTGAACCCTTCATCAAGAACTTCACATGAATTTTTTTTAATCACAGAAAAACACGAAACAAGTATTAAAGCACAAGGTGAATTTGTGGCAATTCATGTCCCCAAGAAGACAGTGCAGCATTTGGACCTTGGCTTTGTATTCAGACATACCCAGGTTGGATGGAAAGCTCCACCATTCACAGTGTCACCGTGGGGCCAGTTACGGCACTTCTGTGAGTCTTATTTTCTGACCTGTGAAATGGGTGGCAGTGCCTTCCTCCTAAGGTGGCATGAAAGTCAATGAAGAGACAGGCGTGGCCTGGGGTAGGCATTTGAGATCAACTGCCACAGTGTCCTTCTGGCTCATTCTCTTTTGTCTCACGACCCCCCTCCTCTGCGTGTAACCAGGGCAGGGGAGCACAGGAGAACCGTGGGGGACACAAGAGCCAGCTCTCAGGTTTCAGATTTCCAAGCAGACTTTAAAAAACCAGGACTTGATTTTTTTAGCGCAGCCTCCATCCCGCACCGGAGTGGTACACCTGATGCACGCACATGGACACAGTTTCCACCACCGAGTCCACAGCCGACACGCGGGCTCACGTGTGGGGTGGCACAGTTCGTGGGGCTCAGACAGACGTATCACCACGTGGATCCAACAATACAGCATCACGGAGAGTAGTTTTACTGCCCTAAAACCCTTTATGTTCTGCTGATTCACCCCTCAGTATCCTACTACCCCCACCCGGTCACCACGATCCCTTCACCATCTCCATCTGTGTACGGCCTTTTCACGCTGGCGTGTCGGCTCCCCTGTGTCTTCTCATTGCTGATGGCTCGTTTCCCTCCAGTGCTAAGCAATGTTCCACTGTCTGGATGTTCCAGTTTATCCAGTCACCTGCTGAAGGACATCTTGGGTGCTTCCAAGTTTTGGCAATTATGAAAAAAGCTGCTATCTCTATGTGCGGGTTTTGGTGTAGACGTAAGTTTTCATTTCCTTTGGGTAAACACCAAGGAGCGTGATTACTGGACTGTAAGATGAGAGTGTGGTTTATTTTGTAAGAAACTGTCAAACTGTCTTCCAAATGGATGTACCATTTTATATTCCCAGCAATTAATGAGCATTCCTGTTGCTCCACATCCTCACCAGCATTCGGTGGTGAGTGTTTTGGATTTTTTGTGTGGTGAATCTCCTTGTCTTAACTTGCATTTCTTTTTTTTTTTTTTTTTTTTTTAATTTTTTTTTTTTGAGACGGAGTCTTGCTCTGTCACCCAGGCTGGAGTGCAGTGGCCGAATCTCGGCTCACAGCAAGCTCCGCCTCCCGGGTTCACGCCATTTTCCTGCCTTAGCCTCTTGAGTAGCTGGGACTACAGGCGCCCGCCACCTCGCCCGGCTAGTTTTTTGTATTTTTTAGTAGAGACGGGGTTTCACCGTGTTAGCCAGGATGGTCTCGATCTCCTGACCTCGTGATCCACCCGTCTCGGCCTCCCAAAGTGCTGGGATTACAGGCTTGAGCCACTGCGCCCGGCCTTAACTTGCATTTCTGATGACACACAATGTGAAGCTTCTTTTCACATGCTGATCTGCCATCCATGCATCTTCTTTGATGAGGTGTCTCTGCAGATTCGTGGCCAATTTTTTAATTGGCTTGTTTGCTCCTTTTTGTTGAGTTTTTCAGAGTTCTCGGTATATTTTAGATAACAGTCCTCTATCGGGTGTATCTTTTCCAAATATTGTCTCCCAGTCTGTGGCCTGTCTTATCCTCTTGGCAGTGTCTTACATAGAACAGAAGTTTTTGATTTTAATGAAACCCGGCGTATCAATTATTTCCGTCATGGATCTTGCTTTGGTGTTGTATTTAAACATCATCACCATACTCAAGGTCACTTAGGTTTTCTCCTATGTTATCTTGTAAAAGTTGTACAGTAACACATTTTACGTTTAGGTCTATGATCCATTTTGAATTAATTTTTGTGAAGGGTGTGAGGTCTATGTCTAGATTCTTTTTTGTTTTTGGCAGTTGTTCCAGTACCATCTGTTGAAGACTATGCTTTCTCCACTGAGTTGCTTTTGTTCCTCTGTCAAATCAGTTAACTATATTTGTGTGGGTCTATTTTGGGGCTCTCCATTCTATTTGTCTATTCTTTGGACAATATCACACTGCTATTGTAGCTCTAGAGTCTTCAAGTTGGGGGGTGTCAGTCCTCTAACGTGCTTTTCCATCAGTACTGTGTTGGATATTCTACGCCTCATCCTCTCCATCTATGCTTTAGAAACAGTTTGTCAATATCCACAAAACAATTTGCTGAGATGATGATTGGGAATGCATATGAAACCTAAAGTTGGGAAGAACTCTACCAACAATACTGAGTCTTCCTGTCCATGAACATGGACTATCTGTCCATTTATTTAGTTACTTCATTAACGTTTTGTAGTTTTCCTCATATAGATTTGGTACACATTTTGTTAGATTTTTTACTTAGTACCATTTTTTTTGGTGCTAATTTAAATGTTACGTTTTTAATCTTAAATTCCACTTGTTAATTGCTGGTTCATAGGAAGGTGACTGACTTATGTATATTAACCTTGTATCCTATAACCTTTTCTATAATCACCTATTAGTTCCAGGAAATTTTTCTCAATTCTTTGGGATTTCCTCCATATATAATCATGTCATCTGAGAACAAAGACAGTTTTATTTCTTGTTTCTCAGTCTGTATACCTTTTACTTCCTTCTCTTGTCTTTTTTTTTTTTTTTTTTTTTTTTGAGACGGAGTCTCACTCTGTCGCCCAGGCTGGAGTGCAGTGGCCGGATCTCAGCTCACTGCAAGCTCCGCTTCCCGGGTTTATGCCATTCTCCTGCCTCAGCCTCTTGAGTAGCTGGGACTACAGGCACCCGCCACCTTGCCCCGCTAGTTTTTTGTATTTTTTAGTAGAGACAGGGTTTCACCGTGTTAGCCAGGATGGTCTCGATCTCCTGACCTCATGATCTGCCTGTCTTGGCCTCCCAAAGTGCTGGGATTACAGGCTTGAGCCACTGCACCTGGCCTTGTCTTCTTGAACTAGCTAAGAATTCCAGCATGAGACTGAAAAGCCGTAGTGAGAGGGAATACCTTTGCCTTGCTCCTGATCTTAGTGGAAAAGCTTCTAGTTTCTTGCCATTAAGAATAATGTTAGCTGTGGGTCTTTTCTGGATGTTCTTTAACAAGTTGAGGAAGTTCCCAGCTTATCCTAATTTGCTGAGAGTTTTCATCATGATAGGTGTTATATTTTGTCAGATGCTTTTTCTGCATCTATTGATAAAACCACCTGATTTTTCTTGTTTAGCTTACTGATGTGATGAATTGCATTAACTGATTTTTGAATGTTGAACTAGGGTGTGTGATTGCTTTTATATATTGCTGGATTTGATTTCTGAATGTTGATAATTTTTACATCTATGTTCATGAGTGATACTGGTCTATAGTTTTCCTTTCTTGTAATATCTTTGTATGGTTTTGGTATTAGAGTAATGCTGGCCTCAGAGAATGAGTTAAAATGTTTTCTCTCTGTTTCTATCTTCTGGAAGAGATTATACAGAATTGGTATAGTTTCTTCCTTAAACCTTAAATGTTTGATAGGATTCACCAGTGACCCCATCTGGGCCTGTGACTTCTGTTTTGGAAGGTAATTAATTATTGATTAAATTCCTGTAAATGATACAAGCATATTCAAATTGTTTATTTCTTCTGTAAGTTTTGGCAGACGTTGTCTTTCAAGGGATTCATCTATTTCACTAAATGTAACAAATCTGTGGCTAGAGTTGTTCGTAATACCAAATCGACTTTTGTGTCCATAACGTGAAGTGATGGGTTGAGACACAGATGTTCTGAAGCCCTAAGAGGCAAGGTTTGGGTGTCCAAGGACAAGGTCATACTCATAAATGACAGATTCAGAGAGAATAAGAGTTTATCTAAAGGCAGATACGAACTCCCTGGGCTGAGAGGAAGAGAGTCTCAGAAGAGGGATCCGGGTCAGGCTGGGTGGGGTCTCCACGAAGTGGCTCCACATCCTGCCCTCACACCTCGTTTCTCCCATCTCCGGCTCTAGGAGAGAGGGAAACAGTGGAAATGGTGGGAATGGAGCCTGCAGATGGGGTGTGGGGACAGGAAGGCCGGGGCTGCTTCCTCCCCTGTGACAGTACTGCTTGGTCTGGGGGCAGCCCAGATGCAGCCCGCACCAGCCTGACCTGTGTTCGGGCATGGCACACTGACCTGGAAGACGCCACCAGCCAGGGTCCTTGGGTAGCTCAAGAAGATAGGCCAGCGTTCTTATGGCTGTAAGAAGGGTGGGGACACGGGTATCCAGGTTCACTGCCAGGGAGGGCAGCTGTGTCCTTCTATAGCTGGCTGGGCTGGCCATGCAGCAATTCGGGCAGCAAAGCACTTTCCTTCATTCCTGTGTCTCTCCCACGGCCCAGGACACTCCAAGTACCAGGAGTGGGGCCTCAGCGTATGCTGAGTGAATAAGCACCATTGGCAGTGGCTGAGAGGATGTTAACACTCTAAACATACAGGAGACACTTCTGTGAGCAGTTCTGGTCAGCAGGCTCCTGGTCAGGAGGCCTTGGATCCCCATGAATATCGGCCTCCCGACATAGACACTGAGCGTGTCAGCCATGGTCCAGGTGGCCTCAGCCAGGCCCCTCTCTGCAGTGGCGCCCCTCACGGCCCAGCCCTGGGCCCAGAGCCTGGTTCAGCTGGGTGCAAAGCCTCCAGCAAGGACCCCACAGACGTGCAGAGGACGGGTTCCCAGTCCCTTTCAGCAGGCCGCCACTCCTGTCATCAGATGCCCAGTGCTGAGATGCCAAGGTCCGTCTGCCATGTGGCCTGGCACATTTGAGGGCTCAGCCCCTCAGCTGAAATGTTTTCCTTCTCACGTGACCAACTGTAATTCTGGGAATTTTCACACCCTGATAAGACACATTCCACACAGTCCCATGGTTTTAGAGAGCGCATGCTCTGAAGAGGCACAATGAGTTCCCTTCATTTTTAACAAAACAATGTTTTAGGCTGGGCGCAGTGGCCCAGCACTTTGGGAGGCCAAGGCAGGTGGATCACTTGAGGCCAGGAGTACGAGACAAGGCTGGCCACCATAGCAAAGCCCCATCTCTATTAAAAATACAAAAATTAGGCTGGTGTGGTGGCGTACATACACTTGTAATCCCAGCTACTCAGGAGGCTGAGGCAGGAGAATCTCTTGAACCTGGGAGGTGGAGGCTGCAGTGAGCTGAGATTGTGCCACCGCACTCCAGCCTGGGTGACAGAACAAGACTCCATCTCAAAAAAATAAAAAACAAACAAAACAAAAAAACCACAATTTTTAAACAGATCCAAGAAATCCTTACAATTTCCAGATCCTTGGCAGCCTTTCTCATCTCCTCCAGCGGGGCTGGGCCATGGAATCTTCGCTCATGCATCTGGTGGATGTGCTGTTTTATCTTCTCTTCTAAATCTCCCTCCTGGAGGGTACTGAGAAACAAAGGGCAATGAGGGAAATGACTTGACACATTTACTTTCATCCTAGCAACTCCCACCATAACCAGGGAGAAAGCATGTTCCTTTCTTCCCAGACCAAACAGTGGTCCTGAGGCTCCCGCACAGCAGGGCCAGTTACTGTGGAGCTACCCTGGGACTCCCTGGCACCCACTCTCCTCCAGACTCACGCCTGGGGCCTGGGTTGCCTCTCCCATCCCTTCTTCAGTAGTTCAGAAGCTGCCAGAACACACACTATTCTTATTTAAAAACCTCACATTGATTTAAGATATGACACATTTAGGATACTGCACACTGCGCCACATGAAGGGAAAAGCAGGTTTTTGTTCCCACATGGAATACATGGTTTTCCTAAATCCTTAAATAGATGAACAGAAAAGTGTATTCAGTTGTGATTTTAAACATATTTTCTCTGTTACTATTGGGGCTCAGGGGCTTGGGGTTCCTTTAATTTTAAAGACAATGACCCAGGGTGGTAGAAAGAGCCAGGGATCTACTGCAGGTGAGCTGTGGGGTGGCGAGGTCCACTCCAGTCTGCATGAGTGTGGGGCCCCAGGGTGTGGGCATGGATGTAAGTGTGGGCATGGAGGTAGATGCAAGTGTGGGTGTGGTGTGGGTGTGGGTGCGGGTGTGGGTGCATGTACCGCTGTGAATACAATGGCACACACTCTCACTCGGCCTCCTCGAAGACCCTCTCACTCCCAGCAGCAGGGTTTGTGCTGGTTTTGTTTGCTTTTCAGAATAACTATGGAAAAGACAGCATGACACCCTCTGGAGTCCTCCAGAACAGAGCCCCCAGGTCAGGGCACACTCTGTCAGTGTGTCAGACTCCAGCTCTCACTGGACCCCAGCATGATGGGGGGTTAGCGGGCCACTGTGGTCTGCTGTGGCTTTTTAAAGACCAAAGATGGCAGGTAAACTCCTTGGAGGATGTAAGAGAACATTCAAATGTTTGAGACGAAATGGTTTTAGTCCAAGCCATTTTCACAAGGTTGGGGAGTTAATCCAACCTAGTTGGCCGTGCAGATTTTCCCCGAATACTCTCAGTCTCCAAGAGGAACAAATTCTGCAGGAACAGAACATGCCCTCTGTCACCCACATCTCATCCCACCTCCCCCTTCCTCCAGGTTTGTTACACCGCAGCCGGGATCCAGGGTATGGTGAACTGAGTAGGGAGCCCCCTGGCAGACGGAGGCTGAGCAGCAGCAGGGCCAGGGGCCAGGCCCGGGGCCTTCCCTTCCAAGCTCAGGCCCCACGGTCTCTTCTGCTCTGGCCTCTGAGTCCAGTGAGAGCCACAGTGAGAGCCACAGTGAGGCGCCTCCAGTGAGAGCCACAGTGAGAGCCACAGTGAGGCGCCTGCAGTGAGAGCCACAGTGAGGCGCCTCCAGTGAGAGCCACAGTGAGCCTGGTGCAGGACAGAAGAGAGCGGCCAGGAAAGCACGGGGACACCGGAGAGCAGTGCTCATGCCCCAGGGTCTCCAGTGGTCTCCCTGAGGCCACCCTCGGCTTCCCAGCACACCTGGGAGGTGTGAGGCAGGGGCCCAACTGAAGAGTCAGCATGAAATGCCTGGACAAGAAGGCGTGTCCACACTGAGGTTCCGTGCCAGCTTGGTCCTCATACACAGCTCAGAGGAGGTGCAGACAACTAGGGAGCCCAGTGATCATCCCCAAGACGCAGCCACTAAACCAGCTATAGAAGCTGTGACTGCGGAAAATGAAAGGAATGCTGCTGTGAGGTGAGAGGGGTGAGCCCCGGACCCCCGAGCTGCTGTGAGGTGAGAGGGGTGAGCCCCTGGGAACCCTGAGCAGCTGCTGTCACCCTCCCAGCGAAGCCCCTCCCCTCCCCTCAAGGCCCAGACAAGGACCCACCCAGGGACCAGCCTCCAGCTTCCGTCCTTGCCTTGTGCCCTGACTCTGCTCTGCCCAGCAGTCGCTGCGGACTGTGTCCTGCCCCGTGAACTTGTCGAGCCACTCAGTGCTCCTCAGCCCCATTTGCTCCATCCATCCCTATTCCCCGCTGCCAAGCGCAAGTCTCTGAGCCCCTACCCTTCCCCTCACGTTGGTTCCAGGTGAGCATCAGGCTTCCCAAATATCCCTCCCCGCTCTTCTGAACTCCAGGCCCCTATGTGGCCCACCAACGATGCCTGATGGGGCTGTGGTTGCCTGCCTCTCCCAGGGACGACAACCTGTCCAGCAGCCTGGCCACCCCCTGGCCAGGGACTCAAAATCAAAATGTCTCAAGTACTTCCCAATACAGCTTCTCGATTCTGGCTGTTTCCTCCACCGCATGGTGGCTACCTTGCCTGGGTCCCCTTCACCTGGGTCAATGCCTGGCCTCGCCGCCTCACCCAACACCCCATGAGGGGAAGGGCTGAGTGGCCCTGAGGGTCAGGTCTAAGGAAGCTGGGGTGGGAAGGAGTGAGACCAGAACTCAGCATGAGAAGACCAAGGGAGGCAGAGGGGGGGGGGGGGGGGGGGCATGGCAGGGACTGCAGCGGGTGGGTCTCGGATTGCGTCTCCCCTTAGTGCCCACAGCAGCACCCACTACAGAGGGCTCAGCAGCACTCTGTATCCCGGTGACCTACAGGAACCATGGCTGGGCGACGGCAGTTCCCTGAGGGCAAGGACCCCATCTTCCAGGCTTACCTGGCTCTCCCTGGAGCCCACCACAGCCTGGAGGTTCAGGGCTCCTCAGTACATGCTCATGAAATAAACAGCAGCACTGCCCGTGAGTGGCTGGCTGAGCCCTGGAAGGACTGAGCCCCAGTCACAGTTACCAACCTCATTTCTTGACTTGCTCGTGGTAATTTCTTTTTGCTTGGTTTCATTTTTCTAAGTGGATTCAGTAGCACTTTCCCGTTATCTATGAGATCTGTGGCAGAGGAAATCTTTGATGCCACCTAGGAAAACGCAATGAGATCATTTCTGGAATCCCAGTAAATGCTGTTTTCCCACAAAGCTAACCTGCCAGGTGTGTTAGACTCGCTCCTCGTCATGAAGAGGTGGGTCCGAGGTCGCCCCGGGTAGATGGTCTCTGTGTACCGCGGTCATCCCCCCAGGTCTTGGCTAGCTCTCGTGCCCTGCTGGGATCTCGGTCTGGACATCTTTTTGGGGCCTCCCTGACAGCACAGGCTGGGGTAGGAGGCAAAGATGCAGAGTGAGGGCAACCTGGGGTTGCTCAGAAGGCTGCCGTGCATGCCCTTATGCCCCCCACGCCAGGTTTGCTGCAGTGGCTAGCTTCCTACAGGCGTCCTGAGATGGCCCCTCTCCACAGGGGCCCCAGAGCTGTTTCTCCAGCTTCAGTGCCAGAGCCTGGGAGGCCTGGGGGGACCCGACACTCGCTGTGATGTGCACCCTTGGCAGGAGGAGGTCAGGACCCCAAGGGCGGCGTGACCAATGCTGCTCGCTGCTGCCTCCAGTGGACACACCTGAGAGCCACGCTGACCCCTCCGGACCTCAGGGAGCTTTGGGCCTGTGTGGGAGCCTGCAGTGTGCAGTGTGCACGTGTGTGTCTGTTGTGTTCCCTGGGACTGTCAGGAACCGTAGGATGACAAAAACAGGTAGGAGGGAACCCTGGCAACAGGGTGGGAGAGAAGAACTTCCAACCAGGGGCTACTGCAACGTGGAGACTTGTAGGATCCGTTTAGCATTTACCGAGATGATGTCTGGAACTCTTCTGCCGTTCTCTCCTCTAATGAATTTCCAGGCCTGGGCCCTCGTCTGGCCATTAGCTTAACCCTAGTACATGCCTGACACTTAAAAAGTGTTTGGCAACCAGAAAGGGTGGAAAGATGGGAGGCAGGGAGGACCAGGAACCACCCACCAACCTTTCCCTATCCCTCCCACCCCACCATAAAGCAAGGCACAGGCTGCAGACACAGCAGAGGAAACTCTTGGCTGACTGAGAGCTGGGACACTTTCAGGTGATCAGGATTCTCCCAAAGATTCTTCCAACAGAAAGAAAAGAACAAATGCTAAATCCTGGCCGGGCACAGTGGCTCACGCCTGTAATGCCAGCACTTTGGGAGGCTGGGGCGGGCAGACTGCTTGAGGTCAGGAGTTCAAAACCAGCCTGGCCAACATGGCAAAACCCCGCCTCTACTAAAAACACAAAAAATTAGCCAGGTGTGGTGGTGCACGCCTGTAGTCCTAGCTACTCAGGAGGTTGAGGCAGGAAAATCGCTTGAACCTGGGAGGCAGAGGTTGCAGTGAGCCAAGATTGTGCCACTGCACTCCAGCCTGTCTCAAAAATAAATAAATAAATAAATGCTAAATCCAGTGGGTGTTTTTTTCTTTTAAAATCAGACATTTGATTTTATTTTAAAAGACATTAAAAGTCTGTATTTGGAGGGAAGCCCACCCATCCGCACTTTACTCCCACTCTAAAATAGAGAGAAGGAAGACTCTTTCGAACATCCAGATCTTGAGTGAGCAAGCAAAGCACCAAATAGAAACACGAACACACAGGTGAAGTCTACAGCAGGCTGCCGCTTTGGTGGCGTGCAAGGGGCTTTGCGCCAGGGTTTATCTGTTGAGTGTCAAACATGCAATTGATCTGAAGCCCAAAATATGGGCTCGAGTCATGGCTGGTTTCAGAGCGACATGAAGAGAAGTGCACTGCTTTTTACAAAGCAGGTGACGCACCAGGCTTTACCCAGCCACAGGCTTTAGCTCTGCAGCCCTTTCATCAGCTGCAGCCTCAAGGCTCCCACCCCATCGAATGTACTCGGGGTGTGACCTCACAGAGACGGACAGGCAAAAGCACATGCAGGGCAGGGGGGCACACCCCAGGACCAGGCTGCAAAGCCAGTGGCCATGATTCCCCAGGCCCACCCAACCCAGCCCAGCCCGTGGGTGCCACTGGCCAATGGGATCCACCCAGCAGCGGCCGCCTGGGGCTGTGGCGCCCTCTTGTGTCCTCCTGTCCAGCTGCAGGGAGCTGGGAGGTCGGCAGCTTGGGAGCTTGTGCCCCCGGGCGGATGCATGGAACCACTTCCCTGTTAGGGACATGGAAATCGGAGTTTTATTTATTTATGCTGGTCTCTCCAACAAAACTGAAATACACAGATACACATCTGTGTATATACATGCTTATATGATTGCTTTTATTTCTATAACATGGACTCCTAAATGTGTTCAAAGAAGAACACGTTCTTAACCTGGAAAGATGCCTTCCGAGCAGCTGGTGGCAGCAGCCTCCATGCCCTATCCAACGCTCCACCACCGAGGCTCCTTCCCAGTCTCCACCACCCCGGCTCCTTCCCACGCTGCTCCACCACCCCGGCTCCTTCCCACGCTGCTCCACCACCCCGGCTCCTTCCCACGCTGCTCCACCACCCCGGCTCCTTCTCAGTCTCCACCACCCCGGCTCCTCCCCACGCTGCTCCATCCTCCCGGCTCCCTCCCACGCTGCTCCACTCCCCCTCCCCGCTCCCTCCCACGCTGCTCCACCCCCCTCCCTCCCACGCTGCTCCACCCCCTCCCTCCCACGCTGCTCCACCCGCCTCCCTCCCACGCTGCTCCACCCCCCTCCCTCCCACGTTGCTCCACCCCGGCTCCTTCCTGCCGACCACACAGGCGCCTGCACCTCACGTCCACCCTACGTCTTCCTCGCAGACTGAGCATCTTTTCATGTCTTTACGGTAGCTTGGATTTCCTCTTCTGTGGACTGCCTGCCATACTTTTTGCCCATTTCTTCTACTGGATTCTCAAATTTTTAAAATCAATTAGTAGCCATTCTTTGTATATTAGATACGAACGTTTAGGCACAAAGATTTTCCCTTGGACTCTGACGACAGCACTCCGGGCCATACCAAGTATCTCACCAGTGCCTGGGGCAGCGCAGGCCCAGAGGGTGGCACAGGGCAGCAGCAGGCCTCTCCATGCGTTCAGCTGCCTCACCCAGGGCCTGGTGGGGTGTGCAGAACAGCAGCCAGCTACCACGGAGCTCTGCCTGCTGCCACAGCTGAGGGTCTGCCTCTGCACCAGGTGCGTGCTCCCACGGGCAGGGCCTGTGCCTGGCCCCTCCCTGCTCAGAGCAGGCCATCGATACTCGCTGACTGAACTGCTCTATCTCATGATGGGTGAGTTTCTAGAAAACCTATTTTTTTCTTTTTTAAGAAACTGCATACACTCTCGCTGTGATGGGCTCACAGGACTCAGAAGCACACACTGTGGCAGCACTGACCCCTCCCCGGAGCCACAGCCCTCCCCGGAGCCACAGCCCTCCCCACAGCCATTTTGCTGTACATTCTTCCAGACCAAAGTGAGTTTTTGTGCACTGTCCTGCAAATTGTGCTGTTTTCACTTACAACGATTCTTCAAGACACTTTCAGGCCAGTGGATATGGTCACTGACCACCCTTCTGTCGGCCACAGAGGGAGCTCATGGTCTGGACGTGACGATTTAGCCGTCTCCATCTGTTGGCATTTAAGTTTCCCATAGTTTTGCTATAATTCAGCTCTGAAAGCATTCTTAGTGATGTCTAATTGTGCAAGTATTTTTATTCTGGGAAGTGGCAAAATATGTATTTTTAAACTTTTCCACATATTGGGGAAATTAGGAAAAAGGTGACAGCAAAGATGATGACTGAATGTCCTGTGGGACCCAGGCCCTGAGAAGGGTGAGGAGGTGCAGTCCTGGTTTATCCACCACGTTGGACACCGTGAATTCCTAACTCTGAGCCTTGTTCTGAGGTTATGTAAGATGTCACCATCAGGGAAGCTGGGCCGGGGGGAGATGGAAACACTATTTTTGCAACTTTCCTGTAAGTCAAAAACTAGTTCAACACAAAGTTAAAAAAAGGAAACAGTCCTGAACTGTCCCAGCAGTCCACGCCTGCAGGCCCACGTGACCACGCTCTCTGCTGTGGGGTGAAGCCTTCCGGGGCCTTACCCCAGCTAAGGGGGCTGCAGAGGCAACCCCTGGCCTTTCAAAGTAACACACAGGGAGCATTTCTTAAAAGAAAGAACCAAAGAAACATCTGTGACCAAACTGAAAGGCACATTTGCCTAACTATGCTCACAGGACAGAGAAGCAAGCCAGGTGCATTCTGGAGGGAGGAGCCACCAGCTCCCACCACTCTGTGCCCATGGCCCATGCCCGCAGCTCTGTGCCCACTGTCCTGTGCCCGGCTGGACTAAGACCCCATACAGTCTGGGGATATCCCATGTCCCATAGCTTAAGAGAGCTGGCAATCTTGGCTTCTAGGGAAACTGCCTGCCCTGAGGTCCAGAGACCAAGGGTGAGGAGCCCAGAAAGACCTCTGTAGGGCCCACCTCAACCTCAGCTGCTTTTTATCTTTTGAATCTTTTTCCCCTTCCCTCTTTGAGCTTCTAATTCCTCAGACAGGAGGCAAAAGTCAGTGAGCCGAGAGGCAAGCCCTCAAGGCTGGGGCAGGAAGCTGTCCCCTCCGGCTGGGCAGTGAGCAATGGTTCTGGATGCTGCACTCCAACCCAGCCCCACCAGCCAGCAGCCTGCACAAGCAGCTTCCTCCCAGGTCTGGGCTCATCCTCCACAGACAGGGATGCGTGTGAACACCCACCCACCCCCGGGACTGGACTAGTGCCCGGTCGCCACCCATGCCTGCCGTACCATGCTCCTCCTCGGAGGCAGGAGTTTGCTGAGCTCTTCCTTCCTCTTCCTCATCCTCTGGGCTCGCTCTCTCCACTCCTGCAGTGCCCTTTTCTCTCTGGAGAAAGGGAAGGTTAATGTCATAAGTTACAGGCAGCTTTGAGCCAAGGCTACAGGATTTCTCTGTCATTTTACAGCTTGTGGTGCACCTGTCTCCAGGGGGCACAGGCTGGGGGTGTGCATGCCCTGGGTGGGAGTCTGAACCACAGCCTCTTCCTCCCGGCACATCTGGGCAGAGCCGGGAATGCCGGGTTCTATCCCGAAGCTCTGTGTGTTGGTGCTGCCAGCAGTGACTGACGCTGGGGGCCAGCCCCACCCAGTGACCGAGGAAAAGGCATCACGACCCCTTTCAGGTAAGGGCACCAGCTGGGACTGCCACCGCAAACACTGCACGACGGGTGGGGGTGCCTGGCTGCAGGTACTTGTCGACATAAGGTCTGTCTGTGGAAGATCTAAATGCCTGTCTCTAAGTCTCTCCCATCAGACACTTGAGTTTCACTTTTAAAAACAGGCATCTGGCTGAGGCGGGCGGATCACAAGGTCAGGAGATCGATACCATCCTGCCTAACACAGTGAAACCCCATCTCTACTAAAAATACAAAAAATTAGCCAGGTGTAGTAGCAGGTGCCTGTAGTCCCAGCTACTCGGGAGGCTGAGACAGGAGAATCACTGGAACCCGGGAGGCGGAGGTTGCAGAGAGCCAAGATTGCGCCACTGCACTCCAGCCTGGGTGACAGAGCAAGACTCCGTCTCAAAAAATAAAATAAAAATTAAAATAAAATAAGACAAAAACAGGCATCTGCAGGCCTCCCCAATCCTGAGCCAGAGTCACATGCTCCTTCCTTACAGCTCGTCGCCTAGGACTGTGAACATCCCGAGTAATGCCCACATCTGCGGCTGGGCTGGGCTTCTTGTGTGTGGCTGGGGTGGAATCAGGTCCCCAAGAGCCGTTGCCCAGGCCCAGGGCTCCACCCCTGGAAGGCCACATCTCCAGCATACAGGACTCCTGTGGTTGGTACCCCCTCTCCATCCTGCCCCCAGATCTGGCCTCCTCTTGTCTCTCCCATCATCATCCTGGATGCCTGGGCCCTAGCCTGGGCTTTCCCAGACGCCTCCACCCGACCTCTGCTCTTCCTTCCTTGCGGTCACAGCAGCTCAGCCCTCCTAGGCTCCACCCAGCCCACAGCCCACCTCTGACCACCTTCCTGCTGAGGGCTCCATCCTGAGTCAGTGCTGCCAGGAATCAGAGCCTGGCCGTGTCCTCCCCTGGTGCCACCTCAGGGCACAGGTGGTCTCACCAGCTGCCTCAGGTAAGGCCATGTCCTAACACCTGCCTAAGTGGGTCCCAGGCCCCAACCCCCAGCCCCAGCCAGGTTGTCCCCCATGTCCCCACTCAGCACCGTGTGTGGCACTGGCCCCGCTGCGCTCCTGGATGAGGGCCCCCACTTAGTGTCACTGTCTTCTGGTCACGCAAAGGGGTGACGCTGTTCACAGGGTTGATGTGAAGGAGCCGGCTCTGCTGGGTCTGGACCCTCTGAACAGGCCTGCGGAGCTGCTCACTAGGAGACTGCAGGACACTGGCTCTGGGCTCCAGGCAGAAAAATAAAGAAGAGAGGGTTCACTTGCTCTTTGTATCCAAGAACTTCTCTTCCATGAAGGTGTGGGACGAGCCTGACGTTTGGGGGTGAGAGTGCCCTTTCTGCCCACTGCAGTTGGTGGTGCCCCAAGAGCCTAAGGCAGGGGCTGTGCCTGCGGAAGGTCTCACCACAATCACCTCCATCACAGCCATGGCCAAGAGGGTGAGGATGAGTGGGACTCCCACAGGCAGCCTCCTGGCAGGGCAGGTGATACCTGAGGAGTCAACGGGGCAGGTATCCGGACCGCCCACTTCAGAAAATGGTACCCTGAAATTGGCAGAGCCGAACAGGAGTGGGACCCGCCTGCAGCAGGGAAGGGCGGTGCCTGCTGGGGCACACAGAGAGGGGAGGGCAGCTGGCACGCTCGACAGGCAGGGCTGGTCCTGAGGGGCTCACCTCGCAGTGAGGGACGGGCCCGGCTCTGTAGAGCTACCCCGAGGGACAGTGTGGGGCGACTGATGGGCACCAAAGGAAAGCCTTCCCAGTGCTCCCCGGGCCCTGGCAGCTGTGGCCTGTGGCTGGCGAGACCTGGTCCCACAGTGATGGGCTTTCTGGAGCAGCCCAGACCACTCCCCCATGTACTAGGGCAGCCCTAGAGCAGCCAGTCAGCCTCACCCCTGCCCATCAACACGACAGCCAGCCTCACCCCTGCCCATCAACACGACAGCCTAGGGCAGGGGACCAGCTCGGAGGCCTTCACCTCACTCATATTGTTACTGAAAAAAAAACAACCAACTACACTGTCTGTCTGGACATCAGGTGACCGCTGTGGACAGTCACAGAATCTGGTGCTCAACACGGTCCCAGAGAAAACAGCACACACGCAACGGGGGCTTTAGGAGGGTTCATTCACGCTGGGGAGCGAGCAGGTGAGCCACAGGGGCAGTGCAGGAGCCCTGTGCCAGTCAGGGCTGGGCTGCAGCTATCCGCAGGACAGACCAGGGAAGGAGAGATTGCCGGAACCCAGAAGGAGGGAGAGGCTGGACTCGGCCAGCTCCAGGCAGCTCAGAGAGAAGCCGGGCAAGTAAAGACGAGGCCCTCGCTCTCCTCTTCCTCCTTGGCCTCCTGCTGGGAGCCCCCACTGGCCAAAGCCAACCACCAAGTGAGGGCCACAGGGGTGCTATGGCTGCGGTAAATGCCGGCCGGACTCCTGGGGCCCAGGGATGGGTGGAGCCAGGTGGTCAGTGGAGCTGGAGGACAGAGAAGACACTGAGGACACTGAGCACGTTGGCCGACATGCCTCACAAGGTGGTGGCACTGGTGGCAGTCACAGCAACACAAGAATGAACCTCCCCGACGACTATGTCAGGGCCTGGGACACTCCAGGGAAAGTGAGGAGGAGAGGACTGAGGAAAAACAAGAAACGAGGGAAAAGGACAAGCAAGCAGGCAGGTGTCGTGAGGAAGCCAGGGCAAAGACGGACACAAGCGGGTGACCACAAGCACTGCACCTGCGCCTGCCCCACATGGAGGCCTCGGGGCTGCGAACAAGGGAGCCCATGCATGCAAGGCCCTGCAGACCATGAGCACCGCACCTGCCCCACACGGAGGCCTCAGGGCTGCAAACAAACGAGCCCATGCACGGCGCTGCAGACCACAGGGGCACGTGTGGCCTGGCTTCCAGGTGAGGAGGAGACGGATCCTGGATCAGCATCAGTGAGGGCAGAACTAACTAAACACTTCCACAAGCGCTGCCATAAAATCACAGCCCAGCCCCAGCTCCAGGTGCACTGGGCCGGCTGCGCGGACCCCCGCCTTGTGTGGACTCACCGTCTCTGCTGCTCCATCAGAGCCTGCTTCTCCCGGAGCTCTCGGAGCGCCGCCGCTCGGCTCTCTTCCAGTCTTTTTGCTCGGATCGCCATTTGGTACGGTGACAAGAGGTCGGGTAAGATGTCCGTGGAGGAGGCCATGTTCCTTCTAAAATTAGAGTGTTTTTAGCCGAATGTTTAACAAAACCCTGTGACGGTAACTCATACAACGTGTGAAATGTAAAAGGAGGGCCTGTGGCTCATCTGCTCGTCAGAACAACTACCACGACCAGAACCCGCAGTCACCCCACAGAGGCCACAGTCTTGACTGTTGATTTCAGGACATGTAATGAAGATGCATGGATGGCAGCACGACATTGTCCCAATGCGCCCACTGCCAGCCAGCTACTTTCCCGGGACGCTTGACAGTCAGCCTGGGAAATGCACCTGAAGGACATGCAGCCTCGGCAGCTGCACCTGACCTGCTTGAGACCAATGCCACCCCCTGTCTGAGCTGGACAGATGCCCACAGAAGCAGGGGTCCTGGCCAGCAGCTCACCCGGGCTGGAGGATGTGACATGCCTGGAGTTCAGGTGCACGGGGTGACGCTGCAGCAGATCGGAATCCCGCTGCTGGGTGATGTGGGAGCAGGGGCGGGCCAGGCAAGGCCATCAGAAGGCGCCTGGCCTCCATACACACATTCAGGCAGGGTCAGATACTGGGTCCCCCTTGAGGGAAGCCCGCAGGACAGCAGAGGGGGCAGCCAGTAACACCGTGGGGTCTCACGGTGCTGGGGACTCCCTCTCCCTGCCCAAGAGAGGGAGCTGATAGGTATGCCCCAGTGTTTCCTCCCAGGGAAAACGCCTGGGGAAAACCAGGCCAAAGATAGGGGCTCTGAGCCCAGGACTGACAGCCAGCCAGGTTCCAGAACGTGACACCTCCTCGCCACGACCCTTGCACCAAAGCAGCTTGAGAAACACAACTGGAAGCCCTGCCTAGTCTTCCCTCCAGAACCAACACCTCGCCCAGAGGAGAAAGGCCCATCCCATTCCAGGCCTGCCCTGTGCAAGCCTCACACCAGCAGCACATCTTGGGAGGTCACAACCAAGCATCATGCCTGGTGGCCACGTCCCAGGAGGCTGGCCCGCTCCCCTGCCCCCACGCTGCACGACCTCCCACCCTCGTCTTCCCCGTCTGCACGGGAACAGCAGTGACTATCCCAGCAGAGCAGAGAAGGCAGGCGCGGCCTGCGCTCTGAGACGGGTCACCTGGGCTGCATGGTGGGCACTGGCCTTGATTTAACTTGCTGCTTTTGGAAGGGCAGGTGGCCCGGGCTCTATGGAACACCAGGTTTCCCCTTGTGGTCTCAGGGTCCGGAGGAGTGTGGAGGAGCTGCCCCAGAGGAAGGCCTGCTGGATGTTGTCAGAATTAGGCTGGGGCAGTGATGCTCCGTCATACTCCAGCTCCATGTCTGATGACTTCAGAATGCTTTTATTCCCTCCCATTATAATTGTGGGATTTCAGGACCAGACCATTATTTACCTATGATTTTTACATAACATTACGTTTCTTGCAAGTATTTTGGATACGACCACTCAGCCTCATAAACAGGCCCAGGCCACGCGAGTCACCTTGGACTGGGCCTGCTGCTCCCACCATGCCCACTGCTCCCCAGCCAGAGAACACAGAACAGCGCCAGCTTCCCGAGTCCCAGACCCTCAGGAAGGGCCACCATTCCGAGTGTGGACCAGGGCCATAATCTCAGAGCTTCTCCTTAATACCTATGACCCCACGACAACCCGACCAAGTGGGGAAACTGAGGCCCCGATAATGCATGTGACATCACAACCACCCCCGTGGGAAAGCTGAGGCAGAGTGGCTCTCTATGGCTCACTCTGGGCAGAGGCAGCAGAGGGAGAAGACAACATTCAGGGCCCACCCAACCATGGGGCACGGGCTCCAGGTTGAGGCTTCCTGCCAGAGGCTCCAGTTCTCTGCTCCAACTTCCCAAGCCACCCAAAGCAATCTCCGAAGGCTAGGGTCTAGTATCCAAATCTGATGTATTGATCGAAGTGTAAGTACTACTAATAAGCATACCACAATTCACTTGGATTAACTATTATTAGAGTTCCTAACAACAAATAAATAAATGAAAGGAGAAGGGGAGAAAGGAGGATTCTCAGCAGCAGGCCCAGCATATTCCTGCCCTTTCACTGTGCAACTGTGTGGACTGAGAACATCACGAGGGTGTTGGAGCCTCCGAGGCCTCGCTGTAACTGGGAACCTGCCGTGCGTGCTGCCAGGACATCCTACACTTAATTTGTTAGTAATGCTTCCAAGGTTTGTTTTGTTCTGTTTTGAATGTTCAAACCTACAGGACAGCTGAAAGATCAGGGCCGTCAGCGCTCCATGCCGACGCCTCCAGGAAGGTCTGGTGCCATCGTGCGCCTGCTATGCTGGCTGCTGCGTGGAGCCTGAGGGACCACAGACCACCACAGCCTCCCAAAATCTGCACCCCCCTTAAGCCATGGTTGTGCCCTTGGCTATGACAATGTGCCTCTTGAGAATGCATGATCTAGATTCACCAACTGTTACTTTACAGCATTCTCTCTAGATATTTATACACACACAGGCACGCACACGCGCACCACAGATACACACCTCCTGTATGTGTAGGCGCACGCCCTGCCGCACCCATGACTCAGTGTTTCTCTCATGCAGCCTCTGCAGAGCCTGTTCTCAGGGACCCTCGCCCTGGGTGTAGAAGGAAAATAAAAGCTCGGCCCCAAACTCACTGTGCCAAAGGGAAAGGTAAGCTTGGGAAGTGGGCCGCACAGTGACTGCCTTCCTTTTGTCCCCAGGCAGCTGCCGTTTATTTTCTGCCTAACTGACCTTTCCCCCAACTCCTCTCTTTTCACAGGTAAAATGTGGATTCAGTGAGCGCTGATCGAAGCCCCACAGGAATGTGACCACTTGGCTCACCACCTGCCCCCACTTTTACTTTTTTTTCCTCCTTCCCCTGCTGCCCATTGTTTCTCCTTTAAACGCTGACATCCTCAAAGCTCTCTCTGGAGAAAGCACAGGCCATAGATCTTACTGTCACTTGTGTTTCTTTTCCCCAGGCGCATCCTCAACCTTGGCAAACTCAGCTTCTGAATGGACTGGGCTCTGACGCAGATGCGCTGGGCTTGATGCAGGTCCCCATTACCCTAAACCCGGGACCGGCACTTGCCGCACAGTAAACAGCGGCAATGTGGAGGGACACTTTAAAAGCTGGACCTGATGTTTTAAAACATAATTTAAAATAATTGTATGAATTCGTAAAGATCAAGAAAATCCCCTGTTGCTTTTAAGTTTTACCTGAAAACGTGTCTTGGCTTTGGCAGTTCTTTCTCACTGTTCAAGGCCGCCTTGAGATTTGGAGGTAATTCCCTTGGTAAAAGCTGATTTCCCAGAGTGTCTGCCTTCACGTGCTCAACAATCTCCTGCCTCAGCTTCCAAAAGCGTCTGATCTCCTCCTCGCTGGGCCAGTGCTCTGAGGAGTCAGCGGACTTCCTGAGCTCACTCAGGTCTGGCTTTTCCACAGGCGGCAGAAAGCCGGCCTTCTCTTTCATCACAGCCCCCTCTGGGCCCTGAGCGTTCACAGCTCCTTCGTTAGACGCGTGGCCTCCGGACAACTCTGATCCTGGGCTCGGGAGGTCATGGAGGGTCATCTCTTTACCCGGTGGAGCCTCTGGTAGAGGAAGAAACCGCTTTAGCAGCTACCATCAACGCCATTCCTCTGTGACTCACTCAAAAAGCCAGTGATGGCGCCTCTCTGTGAAGAGTGCCTGGATGGTGAGGGGTGGGGTGCCCAGATCCTCCATGGCCACCACATTCCCTGTCAGTCCAAACAATTCTGTCACCGCACCTGCACCATGCTAGGCCTCTATGCTACGGCACGCAAAGCAGTTACACGTGGAGGGAATGGAAACAACACTGCCAGAAGCACACAGGGACCCTCCCACGCAGACCCCGCTGGGCGCGCCTGACCCTCCCACGCAGGCCCCGCCGGGCGCACCTGACCCTCCCACGCAGGCCCCGCCAGACACGCGTGACCTTCCCACACAGGCCTTACCACTTTGTAGGGACTTTTTGTATGTGTACACAGGGTAATCTCGCCACATTTAATCAACATTTCTGCTTCCCCTCAGATCACTTAGAATCTTTATTTCTAAGTAATGTTTAGCCCATTATGCCTGCTTTTCTTGTTTGGTGATGCTTTTTTGTTGACTTTCTCAAAACATGACTTCAGGGAGGTGCTCCAGGCACTTCGGGAGCCACTGGGACCTAGTGGCCAGTCTTCTCCCAGCACGTGCCCATCACGACCTGAAGGCTGAGTGAGACCCCAGGTGGCCATCGCAGTGGACACCGGTGCATGGACATCACGCCCTGGCTGCCACACGCCCCTGACTGCTGCATGCTCAAGGTCTTCAGTTTGAAAGGAAAAGTTTTAAAAAATGGGCAAACATGCTTCAAAATGTCCTAATAAGCTGTAAAACTTCCCCTGGGGCACAAGTGACTAGAAACATGCATATTTGAACAATCTGCCTGTGGTTGGGGCCAGAGACAAATCTGAAATTCATGAAAATGTAAGCAGACAGGAAAAATGAGATACCGGCAAAAAGACTTTTTTTTTTTTTTAAAAAAAAAAGATGGAATCTCACTCTGTCACCCAGGCTGGAGTGCAGTGGCATCATCTTGGCTCACTGCAAGCTCCGGCTCGCAGGTTCACGCCATTCTCCTGCCTCGGTCTCCTGAGTAGCTGGGACTACAGGCGCCGGCCACCACACCCGGCTAATTTTTTGTATTTTTAGTAGAGATGGGGTTTCACCGTGTTAGCCAGGATGGTCTCGATCTCCCGACCTCACGATCCACCCACCTCAGCCTCCCAAAGTGCTGGGATTACAGGTGTGAGCCACCGTGCCTGGCCAGCAAAAAGACGTTTTAAAGTAATTGAAAGGGCAAAGTGCTAAAAATGTACATAGTAACTGAAAAATCACTCCAGGTGGCCCTAAAAACTAATAGAGAAGAGTTAGAAAATATTTATTTTTGACCAGTCACTTAATGTATTTTTTTCAAACTTACAGAAAAGTTGCAAGAACTCTGCTGAGAAGTTGGTGGGCCCTGCACTCCATCAGCAGCCGCTGCTGCCTGGCCCCCGAGGCTGTCTGCCCCCGTGAGACTGCCCGCCCCTGCCCCTCTGTCTGGGGGTGCTCATGCATTTCCTAAAACACTCAAGGGTAACTTCAGACATCCTGCTCTTCCACCCTCAGATGGAGACACTCACACATCACCATGGCGATTCACCAAAACCAGAAGCGTCCCATCGCTGACTTCTGTCATTCACTGGCTGGCCTTCCTCACGTCTTGATAACTGTCCCAGTAATGTCCTGTATCATATTTGTCCTGGCCCAGGATCCAATTTAGGATGAAGCATCACATCCAGTTTCCTATTCCTTTAGTCTCCTTCAATCAGAATGAACCTTCAACTTCTCTTTTTTATCCTGATCCTCCAGCGGAGCCTGTGTCCCCTGAGCCCCCTACGTCCTGGCTCCGGCTGTGCCTGACGGTTCTGCCCCTCCATCCTTGTCCCGGCTGTCTCCAGGTCCTGGTCCTACCTCTCCTCTGCCACCCCATGCCCTCAGCTACCTGTCCCCACTCCTGCCAGGTGCCCAGTGCCCTCCACACTTCCAGTCCAGCGGCTAATTTTCTTTTTCTATTCTTATCGCAACATCCTGGCAGCGTCAGGGTCAAGGGTGCCAGAGCCAGGCGGCTTCAGTGCGATGCACCAACGGAGGATGCTACAACCTGGTTAAAATATGTTTACAAACAACTCAGCAAGCACAGGGCCAACTGCTGATTCTTTTTTTTTTTTTTTTTTTTTTTTGAGACGGAGTCTCACTGTGTCACCCAGGCCGGAGTGCAGTGGCCGGATCTCAGCTCACTGCAAGCTCCGCCTCCCGGGTTCACGCCATTCTCCTGCCTCAGCCTCCCAAGTAGCTGGGACTACAGGCGCCGCCATCACGCCCGGCTAATTTTTTTGTATTTTTTTAGTAGAGTCGGGGTTTCACCGTGTTAGCCAGGATGGTCTCGATCTCCTGACCTCGTGATCCTCCCGTCTCGGCCTCCCAAAGTGCTGGGATTACAGGCTTGAGCCACCGCGCCCGGCCCAACTGCTGATTCTTAATCATTTAAAATAATTTCCAAATAGAGGCCATCTGGGTCAAAAGTGCAAGGTCAGTTATTTACAAAGACCTAATTATTTACACAATTCAATTACAACATATATATAATTATCTCGGCTAATTGTTCCAAACATATGCATTTTTCTTAAGTATCAAAGTACATCACAAATAGTAAAATTTTAAATATTCTGAAAATATTTCAGAATATGCACTTTTTTGGCGAGCCTTCATTATGATTCTCCTTTATCACCATTTAACTTTACTTTTTCCAAGTGTAACTAGAATGCATACTCAAGACCAGAACACATCATGAGCATCTGAAAATACCTGGCTGGTCAGTATGTTGAAAGAATGGAACAGGTTAGTGAGCACCCACCGAGGAGGTGATTAGATAAAACGTGTCTACAGGGTCATTTTCCTGCCAATTTCCTTGTACCTCGTTAGAAAGGAGGACTATTTCATTATGCTTATTTTAAAATCACTGTCTAATGGAGTGTCGAGTGTCTAACGGAGCGTCGAGTGTCTAATGGAGCATCGAGTCACTCCTGAAGCAGCTGCCTGTGGGTGGCTTGGAGGTGATAACTGTTTCATTTGATCGATCACAATAAAATTCTACCAAAATCCACTCAAGACAGGATCCATAACGTGCCCAGATTTACAGAACCAAGGAAAAGACACAGAGGTGACTGGGTTGGCCTGAGATCAGCGTCCACTGTGTCCACTCCGCAGAGGACGCATGGCTCCTGTACTTCTCAGGATGTTATTAAAGAGAAGACAGGTTCTAACCTGATTTTAAAAAGCTGCAACTTCAACGTTAATGTGATTTGTCGTAAATCACCTCCTACGAACCTTGAGAAGCTGGATTTCTGGGGAGAGAGTGTTCTACTGCCCACATCCGCAGGAAGCGCTGGATAGCCACCAATCCCTTCTGCACAATGAGCTGCGGAGGGAATTCCAGAGGGCAGTGTCTTAAGTTCAGTGCTTTCAGCGTGGTTACACTCCCTGCAGTGGAGAAAAAAAACTGCCAGCATTTTATATACCATTCTTGCAATGAAAATGAGGAACAAATAATAGTAACTTTTCACATTTTAAAATATGATTCTGTTCAGTATTTGGGGTACAATGATGTTAACAGAGTCAAAGATCTGCTTTAAAGGTAACTCTGCAGGAGACAGATTCCACAAATTAAGACCAGGATAGTTACCAAAAAACAAATAAATAAAATCAAACAAACAGAAGCAGCCACAACCACCATCACAATTCTGTAAAATTCAGAATACAAAGTTGCTATATTATCTAAAATGCCCATTTTCAACATAAAACTACAAGACATGCAAAGAAAAGGAAAAGGTACCCTACATGCAGGAAAAGAGCAGACAATGGAAACTGTCTTTGAGGAGGCCCAGATGTTGGGTTTAACAAAGACTTCAAAGTAGCCATTTAAATATGTTCAAGCGAATGAAGAAAATCGTGTTTAATTAGAAGAAAACAAAATACAAGGGCTCCACAAATGTTAAATGTCAGTAAAAATGGAAATTATTTGAACACTTGGAGGCTGTGGAAATGATGGCCACTGAGATTGATAAGGCTCCCATGGTGGGCAGTGGGCTGATGGGGGCTGGGTCACTCCCCAGGCTCAGGGTGAAGTCCTTGGAATGAGGAGCACTGGGAAAGCACTGCAGGGGCCCTAGTCCTGTGGAGTTTCCCAGTTTGCGGGAGCCAGGGTTCAGTGTGAAAGACGGATGCTTAGATTTGGGGTATTTGTTCTGCCTTTCAGTTGAGCTTGCTTTTCACATGGGTAAGTATTAGGATCTAAAAAGTGCAGACGCTTTATTGGCCCTGTCCGTTAATGGGCTCTGCCCTGAGCTCCATGGTCCAGTTGGAAAACAGAGACTAAACTAGAAGCTACCTATCTAAATGAAATTAGTTTCCTCATCAAATCCTGTGGCAAGTGACTTTGTATTATCTTGTCATCCATTTTTAGTCTTCAAACACACCCAAACTCCTTCTTTAAAAAGTTTAAATTCTCTCTCTGTTCTTTGAGGTATAAATTTGTTATTCTGTTTTCTCTAAACCTGTGTAAGGGTTCCAGCCATAACTTGTTCCATTTACAAAGGCACAATTTAACCCAACTGTTCTTTTGTGGGTTTTTTTTTTGTTTTTTTAGGGAGAGGGTCTCACCCTGTCGTCCAGGTTGGAGTACAGTGGTGCAATCAGAGCTCACTGCAGCCTTGAAGTCCCGGGCTCAAGTTAGCCTCCCCCCTCAGCCTCCTAAGTACCTACGAACACAGGTACACACTACTGCACCTGGCTAATTTTATTTGATTTTACTTTTTGTAGAGATGGGGTCTCACTGTGTTACCCAGGCTGGTTTCAAACTCCTGGCTTCAGAGGATCCTCCCGCCTTGGTGCCCCAAGGTGCTGAGATTACAGGCATGAGCCACTATGCATGGTCTCAACTGCTCTTTTCTTTCTTTCTTTCTTTCTTTTTTTTTTTGAGACGGAGTCTCGCTCTGTCGCCCAGGCTGGAGTGTAGTGGCCAGATCTCAGTACACTGCAATCTCCGCCTCCTGGGTTTACGCCATTCTCCTGCCTCAGCCTCCCGAGTAGCTGGGACTACAGGCGCCCGCCACCTCGCCCGGCTAGTTTTTTGTATTTTTTAGTAGAGACAGGGTTTCACCATGTTAGCCAGGATGGTCTCGATCTCCTGACCTCGTGATCCGCCCGTCTCGGCCTCCCAAAGTGCTGGGATTACAGGCTTGAGCCACTGCGCCCGGCCTCAACTGTTCTTTTAAACTGGTGAGTTTTACCCGATTCATGGCTAATAATAAAATCAAAGCTATAAAATCTTAATGTTTTTACTTTTACGTAACCATGTGTATACGTGTCTGTTTTTATACTGTCCACATTGTAGCAACTATCAATAAACGAGTACTCATAAATTAGTTCTCCAAAATGCTTTTCAAGTTCATAATAGAAATGCCTTCAGAATTTTAGACATTTTTCCTGGGCTACTAGTCAGACAAATTTATACTGTTTCTGCTAGTTATTTTAAAGGTCATAAAACTTGCTTCTGTGATAGTTTATGCTTGTTTGATTTGTCTGTCAGCGTATGCCTTTGGTTTTGAGTGTTTAGATTCCGAGGTCTAGACAAGTGCTCATGATGAGGCCTAGGAACATATGTAAGGGGTCAAACTTCACAGGAAGGCCAGTGAGATGCAGCGGAGACAGCACGCGGGGCCTGCAGAGGTGTGTGCCGGGCCTTCGGTTTCCTTACCTGTGTGACTGTGCCTCACACAAGGCTCATATGTCACACCTCCATATGAACAGTACGTGCTATATCAACAGCTCTTGACAGCTACGTTTTCTTAGTCCTAGAAGTAGGAAGGATTTTAAAAATATCTAGCTTACCCTCCTTTGTCATGCCTGATACTTCCATTACAAGGTCTGGTAAGTTCAAAAGATAGCATTTTAAAATCATCTTTTTATTGTTTTATTACTTACCCAGCTCCACAGGTAACATTTTGATAGGATTTCTTTCTAAAAGCAGAGTTTTCAAATGCCTTTAAAGCAAAACAAAACAAAAAAATTTAAAAAGCAGAGAATTAAATGACTATCTCCAAAATATCCATCAAGTTTCTTCATTTTTCTTATCTTTCAGGGGCAACTTCAATACAGATACACTTAAATTTACAACATGGGCACACAAATGGTCTGTTGCCAAACATAAACACAGGTCTAGCCCTGCTCTACTGACACGTGGGACCAGGCAGTCTGTAGGGGTGGCAGTGTCCCTGCTTTGCAGGGTATTGTACACCTCCAGCCTTTCTCCAATAGATGCCAGAGGTACCACCCACCCCCAGGTGTGGCAACCACAAATGTCTCCAGACATTACCAACAGTCTCCTTGGGGGCAAAACCTCCCCCAGTTCAGAACCTCTATTTTAGGCTTTCATACCTTCCAGTTACAACCTCACTGTAAACCAGTCTTTCCTAAGATGTGCTGTGAGGAATCCCAGTGTTTTATGATGCTCTGTGAAAAAAGTTTTCTATGGCCAAAATTGCTTGAAAGACTTCCGCTGCACAGTATATCCTGCCCTGCTTGGAGATAAATGATTCGTACACTGGGGACTCTGAGAAGCCTCTACATAAGAAACTCAGCTAAGGCAGCATTTCAGGAAGGAACCTACTTTCATTTAACACCTAGTAACATCCTTACAAAATGCAGCCCAAAATATCTCATGGATGCCTAGACAGACAGACAGACAGGAAAGAACGTAAACATTTACTAGCTGAATAATGGAAAAATCCATATATTCTATTAAACTCTATCTTGTACCTTTTACTGTACTATGCTTCTTAGTTTTCACAGTTAATTATTATGATTATTTTTTGAGACAAGATCTCCACTCTGTTGCCCAGGATGGAGTGCAGTGACATAATCTTGGCTCACTGCAACCTCTGCTCACTGCAACCTCTGCCTCCTGGGCTCAAGCAATCCTCCTGCCTCAGCCCCCACAGATAGCTGAGACTAATAGGTGTGTGCCACCACGCCTGGCTGAGCTGAGACTAATGGTGTATGCCACCACATCTGGCTGAGCTGAGACTAACAGGTGTGTGCCACCACGTCTGGCTGAGCTGAGACTAATGGTGTGTGCCACCACGTCTGGCTGAGCTGAGACTAACAGGTGTGTGCCACCACGTCTGGCTGAGCTGAGACTAATGGTGTGTGCCACCATGTCTGGCTAATGTTGGTATTTTTTGTAAACACAGGGTATTCCTATGTTGCTCAAGCCAGTTTTGAACTGCTGGACTCAAGTGATCCTCCTGCCTCAGCCTCTCAAAGTGCTGGGATTATAGGTATAAGCCACCATGCCCAACCCTCATTTAAATTATGTTTAATTTTTTGATTACCCTACAGGAAAATCAGATTATTTAAGGTTTAGACAATTTTCTTTCTACTTACTTTCTTGGATTTTCCTGGTTATTTGAATTTTTTTTTTTTTTTTTTTGAGATGGAGTCTCACTCTGTGGCCCAGGCTGGAGTGGAGTGGCGTGCTCTTGGCTCACTGAAACCTCTGCCTGCCGGGTTCAAGCAATTCTCCTGCCTCAGCCTCCCGAATAGCTGGGACTACAGGCACATGCCACCATGCCCGGCTAATTTTTTATACATTTTTTTTAGTAGAGATGGGGTTTCACCATGCTGGCCAGGCTGGTCTTGAACTCCTGACCTTGTGATCTGCCCACCTTGGCCTCCCAAAGTGCTGAGATTATAGGCGTGAGTCACCGTGCCCGGCTGTTACTTAAAGTTTTTAAGGAATAAACTTTATGAAGTAAACTTTTCTTGAAGTGCACAAAAGTGGATTATTTCAATGTGGTTCTTTCAGTTCACTGTTTTTGGTTTACTCCCTCTGAATTTTGCTCATATAAAACCAGCCAACAGGAACAGCATCTGCTCTCTGGAAGGTGAACAGAGGTCTCCAGATGCTGAGGAGGGCAGCGAGGGCAGCGCCGTGGCCTCGGCTTCTCCGGCACTAGGGCTTCGCCAGGCAGAAAGGTTCTGGCCACTCAGGTGCTGCTGGGTGGGGCTGGGCTGGGTTTTGCCTGAGAGGGACTGCAGGGGGTGATGTTCACTGTTAACCTGAAAGTACAGCACGAGTTCTTCTACCTTATGTAATAATATTATTAAAATATTCTGAAAACACTTTAAATGACAAATTTATAAATGTTAATTCCTTAAATACTATCAATAATTCAAAGCGTACCCACTGATTCTTTTGTTTCACTGATTTTAAAATGAATATATAAAAGTAAATGCTGAGTTGGACTTGTTTGCCTAAGGAGGTAAATGAACTGATCCAGGCTTCCCACATCTTCTCTCTGCTAGCAAGCTCACACATCCCAGACACTGAGAAGGGGGCACGCTAACACCGTCACTGTTTTAATTATGTTTTGAGAGGTTTAAGGCTTTAATAAGCCCATAATCACTTTGCATTTCTGAGTAATATGTCTCAGCTCTGTAGCTGATCTAATTGGAATGTTATCATGGGTTACAAATCACAAATAAAAGTGTATCTTCAAAAACATTAGGCAGCCAGCTTTGGCAAAATCAAAGAATTTCCAATTTTGAGGACTGTATACTTATTTTAGGGAAAACACGAGTAGTTATGGGAACAGGTCTTAGTGCATTGACATCCTCTGAGTAGCACTTACTCTCCAGAACTGTGTAAGGCTAAAATGATTTGTGGACAAAACAGCACCCAGTGATTCTAAACCCAGAAGATGATGATCACGTGAAGAAGAAATCCTTCCCAAAGCACTCTCAGCCACAGGCTCGGAAGCCTCCCGAGGCCGTGAGGACAGGGTGGACAACTGCCCAGAGAGTACCTAGCTCCCATGCAGCTCCCATAACACAAGCGGCTGGCTGGGCTCAGTAGATGTACCAGCTGAGTCCCGGGACACTCTTTTCCTCGAGGTCTATCTGATCCGCCCTGCAGACCCCAGAGTCCCTAGGAGCCCATGGAGATGTATGTTTCCCCTGCTCGAGACACCACTTGTCATTAGCTAAGCAGCTTCCTCGCAGAGCCTGAAGGGCGAATGATGCGTGGTTCTCTTCTATTACGTGTGGCAAAATATACTGACTTCTTATAAAACATTTTTAAAACCGGTGAGTTCAAGGCAAGTGAAGGGCCTCCGACAAGCCTCTATTCTACTGTCCCACAGAGGCCACCATGGCTCTTGGGAGGCACAAATCCTCATGTAGGAACTGGGGGTGCCCTGGACACCCCTTTCCTTCTTGTGGCCCCACACCCACCCACATCCCACCAGCTCTGAAGTCCCACCAAGGCCCTGCCATGGGCTGCTGCCATGGCCCCAGCTGGTGACCCGCCCCACCCTTGGCCTGGAGCCCCCCTCTTCACAGAGTGACTATAAGCCAAGTCCGATGCCACCCTCTCTACTCAAACCCTTCTGTGACTTCCCTTCTAAAATAAAATTCACAAAGAGACACTGGCCTCTGAGCCCCACTGCCCCTCTTTAGAGACTTCCCCCACCAAACAGGCCTCCCTGCCAGCCTGCACCTGCCAGGCACATGCCCACCTCAGGACTGTGCCCAGACACACTCATATCAGAGGAAGGGCTGAAGCACTGGTCAAAAGAGGTTCGGGCAGCCGGGTATGGGGGCTCACACCTGTCATCCCACCACTTTGGGAGGCCGAGGCAGGCGGATCACTTGAGGTCAGGAGTTTGAGACCAACCCGGCCAACGTGGCAAAACCCTGTTTCTACTAAAAATACAAAATTTAGCAGGGCACGGTGGCGCGCACCTGTAATTCCAGTTCCTTGGGAGGCTAAGGCAAGGGAATTGCTTGAACCCAGGAGGCAGAGGTTGTAGTGAGCTGAGATCACACCACTGCACTCCAGCCGGGGGGAGAGAGCGAGACTCCATCTAAAAAAAAAAAAAAAAGAAAAAAAGAAAAGAAAAGAATAAGAGGTAAGGTGATCATGGCTTCAGAAGGAGAAAAAGCCACGGTGCCGGGGATGTGGACACAGAAGCAGAAGGCTCAGGAAAGAAGGACGTCTCCATAGTGAGAGTAGATTCCTGGCTGATGGGGAAGGGCCAAGCTGAGGAGGGGAAAGAAGGTGTGGCATTTCCACCATGGGCAGGATTACACCCCACAAGTCCGCAAGTGGGAATGCAAGGAAACCCTGGGAAGGGAAGTGGTGGGGAAGGGCAGGACACCCGGGGCTTGGCTGGGTGCTCCCAGCTTTCCTAAGTGAGAAGAATTTCTCATTATATGCCAAGAACCAATGTGGGTTACACAAGAGCCCTCAGGAGCAAAGGAGCTGGTTTATTTATTTATTTATTTTTGAGACAGACTCTTACTCTGTGGCCCAGACTGGAGTGCAGTGGTGTGATCTCAGCTCACTGCAAGCTCCGCCTCCTGGGTTCAAGCAATTCTCTTCCCTCAACCTCCCAAGGAGCTGGGATTACAGGCACCCACCACCATGCCTGGCTAATTTATATATATATATATGTGTGTGTGTGTGTATATATATATATATATTTTTTTTTTTTTTTTTGAGATGGAGTATTGCTGTGTCATCCAGGCTGGAGTGCAGTGGTGCGATCTCCGCTCACTGCAAGCTCCGCCTCCTGGGTTCACGCCATTCTCCTGCCTCAGCCTCCCGAGTAGCTGGGACTACAAGCGCCCGCCATCACGCCCAGCTAATTTTTCTGTATTTTTAGTAGAGACAGGGTTTGCCATGTTGGCCAGGATGGTCTTGATCTCCTGACCTCAGGTGATCTGCCCACCTCAGTCTCCCAAAGGGCTGGGATTACACGTGTGAGCCACTAAGCCTGGCCAAAGTTGCTGGTTTAACTCGTCAGAAGTATTTCTGATTTCCAGGCAGCTTCATACAAGGAGAGTCAGAGCTGGAATCAGCTGTGATAAAAATCACACCGGCCACCCAGCAAAAAGGCACTGCGGCTACCAGCATTTGTTGTGGCACCAAATATCCCAAGTTATAGCTCTGCATGTTGGGTACATTCAACCGTCGCACTTCTCAGCTGGATTTAAAAATACTATTAAATGTTTCTATTCCAAAATAAAGATTCAATCAAGAGTAAAGGACAAGGATGATTTTAAAATCTGGAACATAAACAACTTACCTGTGGGCTCCGATCCCGGAAGGAAGCACCTTAATTCTGTTGTACCGGAGGTCCAGCCAAGTCAGGTTCGGCAGCAACTGAAAGAAATCTTGAGGAATCACACACAGGGCGTTCCTTTGCAGATGCAATTGCTTCCGTGCAAAAGAGAATCAGAGAATGTTTGGTCAACCAACTAATTTTTAAAACATGATATATCCAAAATGCATTTCCAAAAGGACTACTAACCACGTATACTAAGTCAAAAAACAAAAACCCAATCTCTTACCCTCAAAAGATGCTAATAGTAAACACAAGAATCAGAAAGAAAAGAACCAGGGCTTCTTCCAGTGGCCTTCCGAGCGGGGACTGGCTTCCTGAAGAGCCGGCACTCTGTTGCTGACCAAGCACACCACTGTTTCTATCCCAAAGCCTGTGACACGCTCTGAATCCTGGGGCTCCACACTCAGTGTCTCGGCCCTTTCTCCAGTGCCTGCCACAGCACCTGACCCTTGGCAGCCCCTGAAACCGCCTGTTTACTGAGCAAATAGCCAGAACCATGTCTGGTCTGGGGGACTCAGCCCAACTCAATCATTAAGAGGAAACTAAAAGACAGGGACAGAGACGTCTGCTGTGGTGTTGTCTACGATCAGCAGCACACAAAAATAACCTTAGTGAGCATCATTTCAGAAGCAGATTGACACATCAACTCAGTGATGCTTTAAAGTCATTATAAATAAGGGAAGGTGGAAGATGAAATGTATACACATTGATTTTAGCTGTGTAAAATGCATATAACATATATATAATTTTACAGTCACAGTGTGGGAGGATAATAGCTAATTTTTACAATACCGTCATTAATGCTGCTATGTTGTTTATACTCACATTATTATATATATTTATATCTATATCCGTATTTACTGAAGGAGTAGAAACAGATCATTGTTCGGAACAATGATCTCGAAGCCAGACTGCTTGGATTCACATCTACGTTTCAAAATCTATTGGCTGTGTGACTTTGAGCAAGTTCCCGAACCTCTCTGGGCTCCAGTGTCCTCATCTGTGAGACAGGGCAATGTGGGCAGCACTAAAGAGCAGTGCGTGGATTGGCTGTCGTGATTACGTTGCCTTCTCTATGAAACACACACTGCATATTGCACAGAGCGCCACCGTGCCTCCCCATTCCACCTTCAACACTGTGTCCCTGATCCAAATCATTGACAGATTCCAACTGAAGAAACACTGACTGGAAAAATCACACTCTTCATAAAGGCATTGGAAACAGTGTCTTACCCCTGTTAGGAAATTGCTGGAGTCACTGCTTGCTGGCAGCTGGCTCGGTCTCCAGAAAGCAGCCTGGCAATCACAGATCACCGTGTGTACCGCCACGTACACGGGTGTGCAACCCCCACATACAGGCATGCGCATGCCTCCACGTGCTGCCTTTCTCGGGCCTCTGCAGGACTGGCTTTACGCTTTTTGGTCCTGTCCTTTCCTTCCCAGGGCAAGCTGATTCCAGTGCTCAGCTTTGAAACCACGTCGTCCTCAATGCCAGTAAAAGGACCCTCAGAAAGATAACACTCTTCTTCCTCCCCAGCACCTCTGGAAATGCGGGCACCACCTGTGACTTGGAGCTGGTTATGGTTGAAGGAAATAATGTATACAGTGGTCCATTTCCAAGACAAAGTGCCTTGAATCGGCTTAGGTCAGCAAACTACAGAAGAAACAGGATGTACTAGGCCCCTGCTTGGATAGCCAACGCCTGCTTGTTGGGCACCCCCCACCCCTTAGTTGCCCTCACCTGAACCAAAGAGGTTTAGTCTAAGGTGAAAGTTTACTGACTAAAAATATCTCGTTTTGTCTGTTCTTATCAGCCTGCCCAGCTACTTAGGTCATAAGTCAAATACTGGAAGAGCCCCTGAGCTGACTGGGATTGCAATGCATTGTGGGCTGCAACAAAATGCAGCAGGACAACCCTAAAGAAAACACCTACAGCCCCTGCCCAACAACCAATAGGCGATGTCCAGGAAGACTGTGACCCCCACAGTACTCAGCCTATGAGGAAGCGGGGGAGGGACCTGCACCCTCCAGCCCCTGCCCAACAACCAATAGGCGACGTCCAGGAAGACTGTGACCCCACAGTACTCAGCCTATGAGGATGGGGAAGCGGTGGGACACCACACCCTACAGCCCCTACCCAACAACAGCCAGGTGAAGTCTGGGAAGGCTGCTTGACCCCCTGATACTCAGCCCTGAGGAACCAGGAGGGACCTGCACCCTACAGCCCCTACCCAGCAACCAATGGCGCGTCCAGGAGAGACTGGCAGCCCACAGTACTCTCAGCCTGAGGATCTGGGGCAGGACCTGCAGCGCTGGGGATAAAATGGCTTGTTGCAACCTGCACGGATGTGCCTGCCCACCAGACACCCAATCTTGCAAAACCATCATTAAAAGTCGCATTTCCACTGTTCTCTGGGTCTCTGAGTCCATTCTTTGGGTTTGGGTGGTGAGTTTGTTTCTCAGCCTGGTGAAGTCAATATGGGAAAGCCTGGCATCTTTGATATCGACGCAGGGGGCTTGCTTCTCCCCAATGTACCCTTAAAGGGAAACAAAACTCTCTAAGGGGAAGTTAACAGTATCGGAGTAAGAGGAGGGATTTCAGGTTCCAATATTTAAGAAAATGTTAATTAGCTTGGGATCAGAACAAATTAAGTGGTTGTTCTTACATGTTCCTAAGCAAAGTTCCTCCTTAGTCAAGACCTGATTGTCAGATTAGGTTTAGGATTAGGAATAGAGAAGGGACAAATAAAAGTAATGATGAGCCTTCTAACAGAGGAGGAAAGAAAGTAATCCCATGTGTGGATAAGAAGGCAACGGGGGAGGATTAAAAATCATACCCTTACAGATTGAACTAAAAACATCAGGAGAAAGAGAAAAGTTTGCAGGAAACAATATCCCATACCCACAGAAATAAGGAGTCTCCCAAGCGGTCATAGAGGCGAATTAAAGATGGACTACTGGAACTCTGCATGTCACCCATACAACACTCCAATTCTCCTATAAAAACAGGATGGCTCCTACAGATTAGCGCAAGATCTAAGAACTATAAATCAAATTGTACAAACTCACCATCCTGTGATACCTCACCTCACCTTCCCAGTAAAATACCCAGTTCTTCATAGTGAACAAGTGTGAATCTGAAAGAGACGCATTCGGGCATGTCCCCTAGACTCTAGGAGAAGGGACCTCTTTGCCTTTGAATGGAAAACTGTCTTCAGAAAAGCAGCACTTCCTGTGGACTCTTCCAAGATTGAAACCCCAGACATCAGTCCGTCTCAAAAAAATTCTGGAGATTCTATGCTTCAAGAAACCAATTATTACAAATGTGTAGTGACTTACAATTTGGGAAAAGGAGGGACAAAGGTATCCAAAGCCACCGCAAGCTGCTTGATTTCTGAGAAGGTGCTGTTCCTAGGGGAAAGAGGGTTGTATTCTATGGAAAGAAACATTTCTTGTTGTAAAACTCAACTCCAATTTGTGAAAAAGTTAATATTTAAGACATCACAATTAGTGAAGAGAGAGCAGAGAATAAACCCAGAAAGTATTGTTAGAATAGTGGGTCTGCCCTTGCCTAAGACAAGAAAGAACTCAAAAATTTTTAGAGTTTAACTGGTTACTGTAGATGATGGTTGACTCTTATGCTCAAAAAACAAGATTTTATATCTTAAGTTACTAGAAGAGGAACTCATCTTCAGATCCCCTGGAATAAATCAAGGCAGTGGAGGATTTAAAGCAAGCTCTCACTATAGTCCCAGTCCTGGCCTTTCCATCTTTAAAGAAAATGTGTTATCTGTTATGTATTGCCAGCCAATTTATGGACATGTGGGGTATTCCTCCAAATCTGGGGCGGGAAGGCAACTGTTGTTTTTTATCTCCAGCTTCTTGATCCTGTCCTGCAGAGTGTGGCCGAATGTGTGCAAGCAGCAACTGTCTGACTTCTGCTGATGAAAGTTGAGCCATTGTGTGGGCCCTGTTGAGCACCCATCAGTCAGGCGTCATATGAAATCAAAGAGCTGGGAGATGGTTGACTAATTCCTGGACATTTTCAGAAAATGTAAAAGTCTATTGCTAGAAAAGATGATTTGAATCTTAATAACAGATACTTGCTTGAATCCAGTCAGTTTCTTATTGAAAGGACAGGAGAATAAGGAGTGGCATCAGACTGTAACTGTGGGTATCATAGAATATCAAACTAAAGTCACCAGACCTGCAGAAGCTCCCCTACATGATGGAATAAGGCTGTTTGTGGTTGTCTAGTAAACAGTAGTAAAAATACAGCTAACTATATATCATGATGCAGACAATCCTTATGTAAAAGAATTATATTACCCAACAACTGGTCAGCACAAACCTGAAATAATATATGCTTGACCCTAAAGCTCCTAGAAGACCAAGAGGCACTATGTAGTGATTCCAAATACACCTATGGAGTAGGACATACCTTTGGAAGGATCTGGACAGAGTGGGGCCTGATAAACAGTAAGGAAAAAAACTGGTACACAGGGAACTGGTCAAGCAAGTTTGAAAGCATCCTGCCTCCAGCAGAATGGCCCTTAGCTCATGTAAATGGCCGTCAGAAGGAAACACTATAGAGTTGTGAGGAACAGGCTTGTGGATGAAGCTTCTAAACAAGCCTCTCTAGAGGAAGAAGTTAGACTGTTTAACCTAATCCCAGATATCCCTAAGGTGGTATTAAGACCCCAATTTTCTAAAAGAGGAGAAGAGACTGGGCAACATAGGGGCCACTCAGAGCTGAGGATGGGAGGTGGGTGCTCTCTGATGGGAGACAAATGATAAACCCTTAATGAGAGAACTGATGTCCATACTGCACAAGGAAGTCACTGGGGTCCCAAGACCACGTGTGATGCAATACTCAGAATTAAGGGTATATAGGTATTTATACACCTGCTAACCAAATATTATAAGGGGTTGTGTGACCTGCCAGAGAATAAACAAAAAGGTAGTTTGACTACCAGCTGGGTGCGGAGGCTCATGCCTGTAATCAGCACTTTGGG